AGAGAGAGAGAGAGAGAGAGAGAGAGAGAGAGAGAGAGAGAGAGAGAGAGAGAGAGAGAGAGAATGATCGTCTTCAATTGATGGATTGAAAATTGAAGGACTGAGATTTTCATCGATTGCAAATCTAAGGGCTGAGATTTTCATCATTCTGGCACAACAGCATGAGCCCTCTCCATAGGTATACAGGGAGGCCATTCTTAAATGTAGCAGCCTGCTTTGGACCGGGTTGACTCGCTTGGGCGGGCGCCAAAAATTTAGGTTTGTCAATTTGGGGTCTGTAATACTGGCGCTTTAACGAGTGTCGGATTCTGTTCCCCCTGGGAGTGTCAAGGATTGCAGTCTGCTAGGGATGACTGAGGTACGCTGGGGTTTCCATGGGAGGTGTAGATCATGAAAGTCACTCACCCAGCCCCTGAGCAACCGGTCTCGTCTCAATAAAGCTTCAGCCCCCTGTTCTCCCTTCTTTCCCGTGCACATGATCCCCACCTCATGAGGTCTTTGGTTGATGCTGATACCTCTTCACTCCATCTCAGAGTCCTCGTTTTGTCTGTCTTTCTTCTTGTTTTCTTCTTCTTCTTCTTCTTCTTCTTCTTCTAGTCCTTTTTTTTTCTCCGCATCACTCGCTGTGGTGCTGCATTGTTCTTCTTCTTCTGCAGCTTCTGCTTTGGCTGCTGCTGCTGCAGCGGCAAGGAATATGAGCGAGAGCAATAGACAGAAAACCGAGTTCCAAAATCACGAAGTACTCCAGATAGTCACGTACCAAGCAGATAGCACACTGCACCAAGATTCCATCCAAATAAGAGCAATACAATGAACTCAAATACCAATGCTGACACTCTCTGGTCACACCAACACTGTATCCATTGCCGCTCCTACTGTCTGGCGCCCAGCGCCCAACCTACTCTACTCAGCCTATCTACGTTCTTGTGACATGATCACATTGAAGTCGAAGACCAATGCCCGTGACGTCAACATCAATGCCGACCACCAACATACATCAGGTACGTTCTCTCTCTCTCCTCATCACCCCTCGTCTCCCCACTTCATGCGCCTCCTACCCGAAGACCACCATCGTCATCACCTGCTCGCACAGCAGCTGCCCGGCTATGGGCGCTGTGCGCCACTGCATCAGCAGCGCCCCTCACTCCAGAGCCCGTGCGCGCGTCCGACCCGCAGCGAAGTAGTAACGTGTCCGCATTGCCTGCCAAGGCGAGAATGACCTGGCATGAGGCATAGTCTTTCCTATATGGAAAGTGTGCGCTGCTGGCTGGCCTGTCCGGGCATGTGGGGGGCCCAGTAGATCCATTATTAATCTATAGATTGATTGATGCAGATCAAGATCCAGATCCATCAACCGATCCAGGCAGGTCGATGGGTAGGTTTGGATCGGTGGGTGGATGGAAATGAATGGATCAAGATCCACATCGAGATTTATCGATGGGTTCATAACTTCATGCAGATGGATGGATGGATAGATTGAACCAGCGCAATGTAAATTTATAGATTCAGAATTTCAGATACAGATCCAGACTCAGGTTCAGATAAAATCATTTATCAGGATTGAATCATTGATGCATTGGTCAGAAGATCGAATCTTAGATATATATCAACAACTACATCGTCTGCAGAGAAGAGCCAGAGGTATGCATGTGGGTAAGGGGTGAAGATTGGTGGATTTCTCCCTGATGAGACGGCGGGGCGGCTGTCTGAAACCGGTCGGGGTCGGGGTCGGGGTCAAGATTTTGCATGTAGACGGTTACTGAGCATCGAGGCATGATTTTTCCGATGTGATTCTATTGATCGATTTGCTTTCAATTTAACTTTGCAGTCGACGTGTGATGCACAATCCTTTCCATGGATTCATGGACCTGGTTCAGATGCTGATTAATCGCTTTGATACAACAAATCTACCGTTGATCCTGATCGATAGTTCTATCAAGAGATCAGATCGGTAAATCCAGACTCGTCCTTTGGTACAGATTCGACCCTCGATCTCTCCAGATCCGTCCCTCCAGTTCAGTTCCCCGATCTCTCCTGCTCCGCCACTCCTAATCCAGATTGATCGACAGATTTGAATCCAGCTAGACCCGGCAGGATATTTAAACTTTGTCTTTGATCCGAATGATTAAAAAGGCCGATCTACTCAAAAAAAAAAAAAAAAAAAAAAAAAAAA